ACCTGAAGAGCAGAGCTGGGCTGCTGTATCACGCCATCTCAGGACCGTGCAGCCAAGATGTTAAAGTTCCAACCCTGTCATAAACTGCTGTAGTGGCCGCGGCCAGGTAATAAATCGCCGCAGTGTCCCAAACCTGAGTAKAAGTCACGATAACGGCACCGAAGCTGAAACGAGGTATCACGGTAGGAGCGAGTCCGAAATRAACTGATGTTGAACCCGAAGCAACTGTCGTACCGGTTCCGGCCCTGGAAATGAATTACTACTGTGCCCGCAATATGTCTCGGTAATGGCCTCAATCCTAAAACAAACTGCCGTGGTAGTGCCGAACGTGAAATAAGTACCCGTGATGGCGCCGATTCGGGAATAACTGCTGTCAAGGTCCCGTACTTGAAATAAGCCTCCGTAGTGTTGCCGAGCGTGAAAATGCTATCGTGGGATGTGCCAAACCGACGCCGACCCTGAAATATGGCGGCGCAGCGGTTCCGGACCGCGGCTGGCTCCAAACCTGAAATAAACTGTCGTAGGGGTTCTGGTCCTGAACATAGATCACTGCTGCGTCCCCAGGGTCGCCGTGCCCATACCGAACCAGAAACACGCCGGACTCCATAGGATGCATCCATAACAGTGTAGAATCTCTTTGAACCCCCTTACTCGTACCAAGCCACATCCCATACTCTCTACCCAAGGTAGCATCACCCCACGTGGTCCATGCGACTCCCGCTCTCAGAACACCCCAATTGTGGCAACGTTAGTATTCAGGCAACAGGGAAAGTGATGCAGGATTCCTTGACCATTAGCAGAAGTGAAAACTGTTAGAATCCGGGGAAAATTATCAATCCAGGGTCAGTGCTGACGGCGGGTATTCAAGGCGAAATAAGGCCAATCTCTCAATAGTCGTGGGTTCCCGCCCCTTTCATCGTTTTTTTTTTTTTTTTATTATTATTCCTTCTCCTTAATTCTATTGTCGAAAATAGCAAATTTCCCAAAATTAAATTCCGAGAAAGTTTAAATAAATGGCCGAATTTCTTTTGTTTCTTTACTCTTTTTCCATGTTTAATCTTTTTCTATGTTTTTAATTTCTCTGCCGGGAACACAAAATAACAAGGATATTTCCCCTACAATCAAATGCCGCGAAAAATAAAGAAATTAAGGGATATTATATTTTTCCTTCCTCCACTTTTGGCCTTGATCATTTTTCCCTATCTTTAATTGGGTAATTTACGCGCCTGCTCCCTTCCTTGGATGTGGTAGCCATCTCTCAGGCTCCCTCTCCGGAATTGAACCCTAATTCTATGTCACCAGTTAGCACCATGGTAGGCCTCTATCCTACCATCGAAAGTTGATAGGGCAGAAATTTGAATGGAACATCGCCGGCTCAAAGGCCATGCGATTCGACAAGTMACCATGATTCGCCGCAACAACGGGCAAGCCCGGATCGGCCTTTTATCYAATAAATACATCCCTTCCAGAAGTCGGCATATGTTGCACGTATTAGCTCTAAAATTACCACGGTTATCCGAGTGGTAAGGAGACCACCAAATAAATTATAACTCATTTAGTGAGCCATTCGCAGTTTCACAGTGCAAAGTGTTCACACTCAGACGTGCATGGCTTAGTCTTTGAGACAAGCATATGACTACTGGCAGGATCAACCAGGTAGCGGGTGTGACGAGCAGCCGCAAGGAGCGATGGCCGAGGCGCACGTACGCACGTCACGCCGGACAGCCTACCAAAAGAACGTCGAACAATCGTGGAACCTGCAATGAGCTGCCGAGACGCCGCGAAGTCCGGCTGTTTG